CTAGGCAGACTTTCTCCAGTGAGAGTAGTACACACAGGACTTCACCTCCAGGAAACCTTGGTGACTGCTTTTGAGGGGTTTATCCAAGACCACTGACCACCTCCTCCCTTGGCACTTCCATTCTGCCTACTCTATGCTTTTCTCAAGCCCAGTAACAAAAGAGAAAGAGAACAAGTATTTAAGAGGCAGGGCGTCCAAGCCCATCAATAAGTGTGTATTGGAGATTAACTGACAGGCTCAACTGGACTCAATTCGGCAGTCTCTGGAGTGGCCTGGAGTTGACCAGGGAGGAAGGAACACATTTCAAGGACCAGAACAATGCAGCTGAGGCATTTCGGCCTGACTCTGCATAAAAACCAGCCCAACAGGAGTGGCAGGTCCATGTTAATGGGTAGTTAGACACCCACTTGCAGGGGCCTGTGGCATGCACCTGTAGGTTGCCTGGGGCCTTGCTAGTTATTAAAATATTGCAATCCTGCTGAATTGTTGTTAAATATTTTGAACAAACGCCCGGGACATGAGATTACACACATCTACAAGGGATTTAAACAGAGGAATGTGACAGAAATGCGGTTTCAGGAAGACCTTTTTGGCAAGTGTGGTCTTTTGCCGGATCTCACCAGGAAGGGCAGAGGGAGGGAGTTTCATGCTCCTGCGCCTGGCTTAGGTGACAAGTTGTTTGTTCAATCATCACTTCATAAGGAGTGGTCAGACAACCCTCGCCCAAGCCACCACCAGTTCAAGACAGACGAGCTGTGTTTATGTGGACAGATACAGCCCAGTCTCGCCTGCCTTTGGGTACCCAGACTGAAATGACCAAGGCTTTCAGGTTTTTCTGACTAATACTCTCAGATTCTTATCAACTCATTGAGTTTCCTAGAAAGTGCTCTTAAGTCTCATGTCCCTTGCTACTAATATCCTCCTCCAGGGCATGAACAGTGAGTGATATGGTAGTTGGGCATACAAGATAAGGACAGGGAAGTATCCATTAGGGGGGCACCTGGGTAGCTTGCTAGGATAAGCATCCAACTCTTGATTTCGGCTCAGGTCATGATCTCAGGATCGTCAGACTGAGGCCCTCGTTGGGCTCCGAGCTCAGTGGCGAGTCTGCTTGAGATTCTCTCCCTTTGCCCCTCCCCCCACTCACATATGCATGCTTATGTGCACGCACACGCGCTCTCGCAAATAAATAAATAAATCTTTTATTTATTTGACAGAGAGACAGCGAGAGAGGGAACACATGCAGGGGGAGTAGGAGAGGGAGAAGCAGGCAGGGAGCCTGATACGGGGCTCGATCCCAGGACCCTGGAACCACGACCTGAGCCCAAGGCAGACACCCAATGACTAAGCCACCCAGGCACCCCTCAAATAAATAAATAAATCTTTAAAAAAAAGAAAATCCATAAGGTTTAGCTCCTGGGGAAGATCACTGGCATGGGAGCAAGGGCAGGCCTAGTCTTAGCACGTAGTGGGGGTGGAGGACATGTGCCCAGGAATAAGGAACAACTGTAAGAAGAAGTAGAATGGAAGACAGGCAAGCCCTTCAAAAAGCCTCACTGGGAAGAGCAGGTGAGTGATGGCGAAAGCCAGAGGCCAGCTGCACGGTGAAATGGGGGATCCTTTACAAAAGTGAGGCTTCAGCTTGGGTCCCTTTCCTTACAACCTGGCCTCTCCAGTGGTCCCTGCCATCTCCTAAAACTGAGCCCACTCGCCCCTTGCCTGCTACTCTTCCAGGGTTTACAACTGTGATGCTGACTCCAACCTTGAAGTTGGGACCTCGCCACTCACTGATAAGCCATCTGCACACGGACTGCCACCTGCCGGGATTTCTGGGTACTCTCATGGTGTTACCCCTTGCAGGGCTGTGCTCTGCTACCAGTGGGCTATTCTATACCACCACGGTGGGCCCCACCCCCTTGCTAACTGTGTGTCTGAATTTCGACCGTAGGTTTTGATAATTGGGCTAATTTGACTGAATCTTTTTTTTTTTTAGATTATTTATTTATTTTTGAGAGAGAGCGAGAGAGAGAAAGAGCGAGAGCAGGGGGAGGGGCAGAGGGAGAAGCAGACTCCCCGCTGAGCAGAGAGCCTGACACAGCACTCGACTCTGGGACTCCGGGATCATGACCTGAGCCGAAGGCAGATGCATAACCGACTGAGCCACCAGGTGTCTGCCCATGACTGAATCTTAAATGTCAGCTCCTGGCTCCTATTTCACCCAGCAGCCAGAGAAGCCAGATCCTGGCTTCACCCTCACACCTCTCTTCCACTATAAGCAACCTACCATACTCAACCAGTTCTTGATATAGTCAACCATATGGTGAGCCAAACACAAGCTACATGAGTGTAGCCAACAGTGAGCGAGTACGAGGGTGGGCACAGCCCAATGGTGACTGTCAGCTGGAAACCTCTGACTATATTCACAACCTCTAGAAGATCAACTTCCTAACAACACACAACAGCATACAAGCAAACCAAGAATGCAGGTTGGCCAGGGAGTGGGATATGTTAAGAATCTGAAATAGAACAGTAGCCATCAGAGCACCAAGAGAGACCAATGTGTCTCTGAGTAAACAACAGATCCAGAGTTATCAGAACTAGATTAAAATGTGGGCAAAATCTGCTGGAGGGCTATGGGGGAGGGAACCTGTAAGTACACCTACTCATGAACACAGTGAAGGGAAGGAAAGTGGATCCTACTTATAAACAGAAGATCAAAACTCAAGACCCTGGACAGTTTTGAGAAACTGGAGATGGAAGATGATCAGCTCAGAGTAAATGAGGCTGGGCAGTTAGGACAGCGACTTCCCCCAGAGTTTAGGACTGCATTTTAGGAACATCAGAAAGAGCCTCCAAATCTCTCTTCTACTTGTCCTTGATTCCTGAAATTAAACCATTCTTTTAGGGCTAGGTTCTCTTAAACAAAGAGCTTCCTGGAAAAGCCAACACTTGAAGCTACGGTTAGTCATTTGTCTTTCAGTCTAAGTTTCAAATTGTTTTTTGGGAGGCTCTGATGGGTGATGTGTGAAGACCCCCAGCACCCAGGGATGGGGCGGAGGCCCAAGCAGGAAGGAGAGAAATGAGAGCTGAGACCCTGAAGGGCACAGGCCCAGAGTGACTCACCCGGGTGTGGGGTGCCCATTATAGGCCTCTTGTGTTCTATCTTGACAGAAATGGCACAGGATTTATACCACCGCACATGAGTTGATAACTTCCTTTGCGTACATTGATGGCTGACAGTTTGGCCATGTCTCCAGCAGTTATACAATTTGACTTTTCTTCTGGAAGCCAGAGGCAATCTGACAATCTCCTCCAACACTGATCATGCTATGGGGCTAAATTCAGGCTTCACCTAATTCAGTGCCGCTTGTGACTCCCATTCCTTATACATGGAACGTTCCAAAGTCACTCATAACCAGCCTTAAGCTACACATGTGGGGAGTAGAGAGGAGAACAGAGTTTTATGTTAGGATCAAGTTCAGCCCCAAATCCATACAGGTATATCTCTTAATGAAATAATAATGGCAGTTAACATTTACTCATTCCTTCCTCGTACAAGTACTCACTGAGTACGTGCTATCCTGGAGTTTATATTCCAACGCAGGGAGACAAAGAAATTAACAGTCCTACCTAGGGTGCCCAGTGGCCCTGCTGCTATGGAGAAGAATAAAGCCGGGGTAGGGGATGACAGAAGAACCTCAGCAGGAGGGAGGGGGGCTGGCTCTTAGATACGGGAGGCAAGGGTGGGCCTCCGTGAAGGGCGACACACACTTGGTGTGGCGCAGGCCCAGCCCGGAGAGGGCAAGGAGATGGTTAGAGAGGCAGCAGGTCCAGGGCCCAGAGGGCATGGGTGCCAGCTAAGGACTTGGGCTTTTGCTCTGAGACAGATGAGAAGCCATGGGAGCTTTGTGCCAAGGACTAACATGATCTGATTTGTATTTTAAAAGGATCTTCTGGTGGCTGTGTTAAGAAGAAACTGTAGGAGGACAAGGGCAGGGATGGAAAGAGGTGGTTAGGAGACCTAACAATAATCCAGAAGACAGACAACAGTGGCTCACACCAGGGTGGTGGCCGTGGAGATGGCAAAACTCTTTAGATTCTAGATTTATTCGGTGGAGCTGACAGTGAGGGACCGAACATGAGAGAGGTTGAGAAGGACTCCTAGGTTTGGGCCTAAGTGAACAGATGGATAAAAGTGCTTTTCTGAGATGAGAAAGCCTCAAAGAACAGGTGTCTGTATATGAGGGGGAAGGAACTGGGGAGAGGGGAGAGGAATTAGCAATCTGGTTTAGGATGTATCAAATTTAAGAAGTCTAACAGAAGTCTAAGTGATGATGTCAAGTACACAGAGCTCAAAACTGTTAAGAAATGTCCCCCCAAGTCCCATAGCCAGTAAGTGGCAGAGCTCTGAGTCCATGTCTGTGGACCTCCAGGTCTGGACTGGGCAACGAATGGGGAAGACAAGGGCTTTGCAACCAGAGATGGTCACTAACTATGTCAAGGAATCATCAGTAAGCTTAAGTAATAGACTTTTTGGCAATTCTGCCAGGGAAACTTGTAGAAAAGTTCTTCCCCAAATGCAGAGCATACTTCATACAAGGAACACTAAAATCCCTGTTATTATCACCTATAACAGAAAACAGGCCCACATTGCCACTTTCTGAAGTTTTATAAAAGAACAAAACGAAAAACACTTCCACCCTCTCCCTGTTGAGCCTCTGAATGCAGCTGGACGGAGATTAGAAAGGGACTGAGACAAAAAAGGCCTCCAGGAAACAGCTCCCTGTCATGGTTATACCAGGGAGCTTGTCCTTTGAAGTCTCTCCCCACAGTGCTTAGATAAGATGTTTTCTACCCCAGACAATGGCCCATTCCTCAGAGAGGTGCTACGGGTGGGGAGAGAAATAAACACATACCCGTATGTAGAGTGTGAGTGTGTGTGTGTGTGTGTGTGTGTGTGTGTGTGTGAATGTTAGCTTGTTTTGAACTCTGCTTCTTACCTGAATCCACATCAGAAGAGGAAGGAAGAGAAAGGGTTTCCACAGAACTAAACACCTCGCTGTCGGCCTCCTGGTGGGGTCTCTGCAGCACATAATCTCTTATGTCATCAACTGGTGGCAAGTCCAAAGCACTGCTCTCCTCTGACTGGCCGTCTGGAGCAGCTTCCTGGGTCGCCATAGTCCTGCCATGGGAAAAACAATTCAATACAAAAGGCACTGCAGAAGAGGGGTCTCCATTTCCGCCACAGCTTGAAGGGCAAAAGTCCCAGAATACTTCACGTTCCCGTTAGTAACGGTCTTCCTTGTCCTTACTTTAGACCCAGTATTTGTTTACCGTGTTTCTTCATCAGGAGAAAGAGACACTCTCAGCACAGAAAGAAACCATTAATAGGGCGCCTGGGTGGCTCAGTTGGTTGGGCGACTGCCTTCAGCTCAGGTCGTGATGCGGAGTCCTGGGATCGAGTCCCGCAACGGTGTCCTGGCTCAGCAGGGAGCCTGCTTCTCCCTCTGACCCTCCCCCCCTCACACTGTTTCTCTCGCTCTCAAATAAATAAATAAATAAAATCTTAAAAAAAAAAAGAAACCATTAATAATTTCAGCTGGAGGGGCGCCTGTGTGGCTCAGTTGGTTAAACATCTGACTCTTGGTTTCAGCTCAGGGGGTGATCTCAGGGTCGTGAGATTGAGCCCCACGACAGGCTCTGTGTTCAGCGTTGGGTCTGCTAGAGACTCTCTCTCCCTCTCCCTCTGCCCTTCCTGCTCATGCTCTCTCTCTAAAATAACAAATAAGGGGCGCCTGGGTGGCTCAGTCATTAAGCATCTGCCTTCGGCTCAGGTCATGATCCCAGGGTCCTGGGATCGAGCCCCGCATCAGGCTCCCTGCTCAGCAGAGAGCCTACTTCTCCCTCTCCCACTCCCCCTGCTTGTGTTCCCTCTCTCTCTGTGTCTCTCTCTGTCAAATAAATAAATTAAAAAATCTTTTAAAAAATAAAACAAAATAACAAATCTTTAAAAAAATAAAATAATTTCAGCTGGAGAATAAGCTGCATGTCTGATAAGGATGAAACACCATGTAGCACCATAATCCAAGGGCTACAGGAATATTTAATGAGACAAGAAACTGTTCATGAGGGCGCCTGGGTGGCTCAGTTGGTTAAGTGACTACCTTCAGCTCAGGTCACGATCCTGGGGTCCCATGATTGAGCCCGCATCAGGCTCCCTGCTCAGCGGGGAGTCTGCTTCTCCCTCTGACCCTCCCTCCTCTCATGCTCTCTCTCTCAAATAAATAAAATCTTAAAAAAAAAAAAACTGTTCATGATATATTACGTGGAAAAAGATTTCTATAAAATACAATATCATGTGTGGGGTGTCAGTGTGCCACCGTGTCTGTGTGTGTGTGTGTGTGTGTGTGTGTATGAGTGAGGAATCTACAGTTCTATAGTTAAAAAAAAGTATCTGGAAGGGTATATTCCAAATTAACTTTAATGGTAATTAATTCAGTGGTTTAGTTTCTGAACAGTGAGATTTTAGATGATTTGTATTTTTATCTGTGGCTTACTCAAACACACATTCACTCAATTATTTCACATGCCAGGCCCTGGGTATACAAAGGTGAATGTAATAGACCCTTCCTTCAAGTTGCTCACAGCTTGGGACAATCCAAACACAGAGAGATACCATGTTAACACAAGGACAAGACAGAGAAGAACCCAGAAAGGGAGAGTAAGCTTTCTGGATGAGGTTATCCCCAAGCAAGGGGCAGGCCAGACCATGGCCGGCGGACAGCATAAACACCAGTAGGACCAGCCTGGGCAACCGCAATGGCATGGGTGTCGGGAGTTTAAAATGAGACTCAAAGAATAGTCACTCATGAGTAACTGGGGAGGGACAAGCCCTGTGGTTTCAGCTGGATGACCATGGGGCTCTCTCCTGTTCCTACACCAGCTCTAAGAAGGACAGCAAGGCCCGGCAGCTGTCAGCAACGTGGAAACACAAACTCTCCAGCTGAGCTCTAGAGACCACAAAGGTGACTTACTGGGTTCATCATTTGGACATTCCTTGTTAAAAATTAGGTGTTCCTAAAAAAAATAAAATAAGGGCGCCTGGGTGGCTCAGTCAGTTAAGCATCTGCCTTCGGCTTGGGTCATGATCCCAGGGTCCCGGGATCGAGTCCTGCATCGGGCTCCCTGCTCAGCGGGGAGTCTGCTTCTCCCTCTGCCCCTCCCACCTGCTCGTGCTCGCTCTCTCTCTCTCTCTCGCAAGCTCGTGCACAAAAATAAATAAAATCTCTAAAAAAAACCAACACTTAAAAAATAAAATTAGGTATCCTCCCTCTGCAAGTCTCTGACTCATAAACTGCTGTCATCAACAAATCATACTGTAGCCAACACCACACACTGTGACTGCCGTGGGCCGCCACACGCCATGCAGAGGAGCTACGCGGTCAGATCTGCAGATGTGGCAGCTGGATAGGAGATGCACTTGCAGGGCTTCAGCCCAGTGGCAGGCAATCTCAGAAGCAACAGGAATTCCTTCACCTGTCATGGTCATGGTGAGAGAAGAGGAGCATGTGACCAAGGGCAGGGCAATCAAGAGCAGGGGACAGATTAAGTGACATATTTAGGAACTAAAATGAGAGTAGAACTTAATAACTGAATGGATAACGAGGTTAAAGAGAAACTGAGAGTCAACAAGGAGTGGCAGCTTTGACGATGGGGTGGTTTTATGGACTGCATTAGAGAAGACTGAAGGAGGAATAGCTTTGGGAGGAGGCCATATTCCAAATTGTGGAATACGGTGCAGCTGTCAAAATGACGGTTGGAACTTGAAAGATCTCAAAGATATATGCTTGAATGAAACAAGCAATTTCAGAATAAGCATAATAATAAGAGACATTTATCCAGTGTTGGTTGGATGCCAAGCCTTGTGCTAAGAGCTTTATGGACAACAGCCCTAGGAGGCAGGTAATCCTGCTACTTCCTTCATTTACAGTCAGAGAGTCAGACACAGAGAGAAGCAGAGTAACTTGCCCAAAGAAACTCATCTAGAAAGTACCAATCTAGGATGAACCCAGCTCCAAGGCCTCCCAGGCTCCTGCGTCTGCACAGCGCAAAGTACCACCTGATCAGGCAAAGATAGGGGTGTACAAAAACAAATCAACAGAGAGGCCTGGCAAGACTCTTCTTGTTTGAGGACACCTGGTCACATGCTGTTGTGGACATCCGCTCAGGCAGAGAGTGAGCCAAGATAGCAGCTGACTGCTTCTGCAAGAAGCAAAGGGATCAAGGTTCCCAAAGAAGCAAGAACATTCTGTCTTTCACACATTATATTAGCCAACCAAGCCTGAAGTTTTAGCAAACACCTCTGCCACAGGCATCTGTGTCTCCTCCTTCGCCCCTCATGTTACCAAACACTGCTCTGGAAGCTCCTGGAAGGGAAAAAAAAACAGGTCAGTGAAGGACAGCTGTATATCCTGCCTGCCTGAAAGGGAGCCTTGAAATCACCCAGCAAGCAAGAGTGTCATCAGTGACACAAACTAAAGGACTCCTTCTTGGAAACAAACAGCACAACTGATGTGACATCTATCTTTTCTTTTAGAATCACTTGTATTAAATGTCAAATACATTCCAAACTGGGCATTCGAACAAAAAGAGAAAAAAGAAAGCCTACTGAAAGGCACAATCCTGTTTCTTACAAAGTCAGAACCTGTGACGGCAAAACATCTGGAACTCTGAGTTTGCACAGGAGAAAGCAAGTATGAGGGACAGATGAGACCCTTTCTATCGTCTGCAACCACAAGTAGAATGTAATGATTATCTTTTTTTTTTAATATTTTATTTATCTATTTGAGAGAGAAAGAGAGAGAGCGCAAAAGCAGGGGGGAGGGGCAGAGGGAGAAGCAGACTCCCCGCTGAGCAGGGAGCCTGATGCGGGGCTCGATCCCAGGACCCTGGGACCATGACCTGAGCTGAAGGCAGACGCTTAACTGACTGAGCCACCCAGGAGTCCCCGCAATGGTTATCTTTGCCCTAAAACTTTAAATAGGTGGTTCCACTTCCTTCTCCAGAAGAGCTTATTTTCCTCTCTAAAAAGTACTTTAGTTACACAATTTGAGCATTCTTTCCCAATACTGGAGAGGCAGAGACACAAGAAGTCTCTCTGTACATCAAAACCTGCTTGCCGAGCAAAGACAGTCATCTTCTACGACTATGGATTCTTACAGACCTACGAATCCAAGTCAGCCAGGGTCCCCATACAAAAGGCTGTTTAACTTCACTTCTTTTTTCAGTCAAGGCTCTTCCCTCCCAACATTTTACATGAAAATTTTCAAAAGTGAAGAAAAGTGGAATGAATTATCGAATGAATACCCCTATAGCTACTGTCTAGAGTTCACAATCAACATTTTACTGTGATCTTCCTTATCACAAAACTGTCCACCTATCCAACTCTCTGTTCATCTGTCAGTTCATCTTTGTATTCATATTTCCATTTAAATGTAATGAAAGCTTCTGAGTTAGGGTATGATAAGATCAATTTGCATTTCCACATGCTCACGCTGTTAGCCAAATGAAGCATGAGTGGGAGGAGGGTAAAAGTGAAGCAGGGAACACAGCTGGGAAGCTCTGCCGAAAGGTCCAGAGAGGCGCAGGGTCTGTAGAGTGAGAGACTTGGGTTTGAACCCCTGCTGTCACTTTTTAGCTGTGTCACCTTGAACAGGTCATGTCAGTTTCCTCATCTATAACAATGGCCTGGGGCGCCTGGGTGGCTCAGTTGGTTAAATGTCTGATTCTTGATTTCAGCTCAGGTTGTGATCTCAGGGTGGTGAGATCGAGCCCCGTGTGGGGCTCTGTGCTGGGTGTGGGGTCTGCTTAAGATTCTCTCTCTCCCTTTCCTCTGTCCCCCAGCCCCACTCATACACACCCATGTGCCCCCGAAAGAAAGAAAGAAAGAAAGAAAGAAAGAAAGAAAGAAAGAAAGAAAGAAGGAAGGAAGGAAAGAAAGAAAGAGTTTTTTTAAAAAATGGCTTGACGACTATGCTTACGTCATAGGGTTGTCATAGGAATTACATGAAATTAATGCACGTAAAATACTCAGTACAGAACACATGTTCAATAATGTCTAGCTCCAATAAGTGAAATAGTAATAACTAAAAAACAATTTACAGGCTCCTATCTTCCCAGCCT